CGGCACGACTGGAAAATGCCAAGGAGCTGTGCAGCAGCAGGACCGCGGAAAAGTACGAGCAGAATGCAGTAATTCACCGCCACATGTGCCATCAATGTCATCACGTCAGACGCCATACTGCGGGAGCTGAAGGGCACGTGAATGCGTCGTAATTTGCTCGTGACGCGATCGTGTTCCGTTGATCCCGAGCTGTCCCGTAATTCCCGCGGCCGTGAGTCCGAGCCGTAACGAGTGCGCCTCGTGAATGCGGGGACGTGCCCGGCGCACGTCGGAACCCAGGGCGGGCTGCGGCTTCCCCGGAAATGAGTGACAGGGACGCGCTACTCGCAGCATGCAGCCCCTTCACGGCGCCCACGCGTCCCACCACCACCTCTCCGTGAATTGTAGAATACTACGAGATATTATTTGGGTCTTTCGGTAAAGCCACGTAGATAGAAAAATAATCCAAATATCACGACGTTTTGATGACAACACAAGCAATCGTCATCAGGTGAAAAACACGATTGCTTGTGTTGCGATGGAAACGTCGTGATATATTTTGTATTTTTTTCTATCTACGCGGCTTTGCCGAAAAACCCAAAGAACATGAATTCCTGCGGTCACGAAAGCTTTAAGTCAATATTTATTCTACGAGATCTCATGGAGTGCGGCGGGACGGCAGAGGGATGCAAAATCCATCATTGTTGACTGTACTTCTATGCTCCCGGTCTTCATTTACCCCCCCCCCCCCCCGCTCGCATGTGCTCAGCATGGGGAGAGTATGGTGGGAGATGCCCTTATCCAGCAGTGGATTGACAAAAAGATTATGTTACGTGCTACATTTCAATTACGTGATTAGTGATGCCAGACCTAAGGACGATTGGAGCAGACCAAACGTTGGTCCTTTTTGTAGGGCAGGATGACCTTGATTCTTAGCCCACGTGTGTCATAGACGAGCTTGTGGCCTAAGTGACGCGTCCCATCTTGACCGCGTGTTCTTGGGAATGCACTGCACACAGAGACCGTGCCACGAGAATGCAATAATTTATTTAAATTTTCATTTGCCTGCGTGTCGTGCCACTTCGTGAAGTAGGATCTCACGCTGCAGCCTGCGCCACTTTCGCTCACTTTAGCGTAGGAAAGACATCAGTAGTCCGACACTGCTCAGAGAGCCGAGTGTAAGACACCCGGATGAAATGTGAAATGACAAGAGACACGTGCGGAGGAGGGCGGGCGGGTGGCTGGCGGCGGTGGTTGTGGTGGGGAATGGGAGCAATGTTCGCAGAGTTGATGTCCGCACAAAGCGTCGCTCTGCAGAGGAGTGTTGAAGAAAGCGTTCCGAGGCTTCCGGAAAAGTTACAGACTTTCATAACCCAGTCTCAAAACACGGCTGAGATGGAGCTTTTCACTCACTCGTACATACAAACACACACACCAACTATAACACTGGCAGAGAGGGTCATGCCCATACGGCATATATGTTACTTTTGATTTTGTTTGTCCATAATTCACATGGGACCGTCTCTCTCACTTAGCGCAAGCTATGAATGATAACGACCGGGAAAGCGTGACGCAGTGCTGCTACGGCGATAACGCGTTTTATTAGGGCGTGCCGCTGAGGCTCCGGGTCTGGGAAGCGAATAATCATGGAGCTAATTACTGATAACGGCTTTTATTTATAATATCAGGAACGTAATGCCTTCTGACCTTTGATTAATTAAAATGATGCCTTTTATTTTACCCTGCTCCATATGGAGGAGCGTTGGGGGGAGAGGGGTGCGATATCGCGTTCCATAACGATAGCCTGTGGTCTCGCGGGGCGCTGCGCTTCAAACACCTCCATCCCCCCACACTGCGCTGGCAAGAACCTAGAGGAAGCTTCAGAACACTCAGCGGAAATGTCAGATTCCCATGGAGCCAGACTATGGCAGGCACCCTGTCAGAACGCAGAGGAGGGACATCATCCGCCTTGCAGAGGGCACGCGTCGAGCCTCACGCCCCCCCAGCTTTCTCGGGCATCTCCACGAGCACAAGATAAATATATGCAAAACGTTCAGCGGATGTTCACGGGATTTTGTTTCTTTCGAGACAGAGCCAAAGGCACACATGGCAGTGATGGCAAATGTATCCTTTGCTGCGTGTTGGTCCGTCCAGTTGCACTATACCTGTAGACCAAGTAGGATAAACATCACGGATCGTTTAGCGATGGCCACTGGCAGGAGCATTCTGCGCGGGTTTATATCCCAGGTGCACGCACCGGGGATGTGCCCATAGCCATGCTGTGCATTTGGTGGTGGACACTGGAAAGTAATTGGAGTGACGAAATATAGACAGCTGGCAATATGGAGGGGGGAAATCATTTTGACAGCACGCGTTGTGATAATGTAACTTGCTTTGTCTGTCTTGAGCAAGAGGCATTTCCCACTTAATCTTAAGTCAACGAAATAGGTCACGCTGGCATCACTAAGCCTCTGTGTTGAAGCTGCCATTTAACATTCCTCGAGTAAATGGTTCTGAAGGATGGTACATTTTCTTATATCGTTTTGTAGGCATCAAAACGACATTTTAAACTCTGTGGAAAATCCTATTGAGATACAATCCATACGACTCACGCCGTGGAGCATGGTGCTTACAGCATGCCAGTCGCGTGTCGCGGGGCTCAATTTACAGTCGGCAGGACACGGTTCCATCGGCGTTCTGGCATCCTGGTCTAAATCCAGACATCACCATCAAACATGGGCAAGCCTTTTGGCGGGATGAGTTATTTTTAATATTTTCTTTTAAGTGCGTTTTATTTCAACTTTTTTACATCATGCATTAATGGGAATGTCATATCACATTTAAACCGTAAAGATGATTGCACTTGCAAAAGGGTATAGGTACGAGCTTTGCATGTTTGAGAGATATGGGCAATTGAGGTAGAAGGCCCAGTCAGTGTGCATACCGCTGTTTTAGTGCCTTGCGCTGCATCATTCGCGGAATACACAGTGCTGTGTATTTGTATTCTACGTCGGCAAGCCGGGTGCGTAGCGTGATGGCAGAGGTCACGATTTCAAATTCCCTTTGGGGTTTACTCAAACAAAACATTCTCTTGGTTCTTTCGGTAAAGTCACGTAGAAGGGAAACAATACAAATATAAAACAATACAATTCTCACGAAAGCTTTAAATCAAAACATTCTCTGTTAGGTAGACAAAAATGGATGTTCTTTGGATAAACTGATCTTGTCATAGAAATATGGAATTTATGCCATTGATGAGCGTCCACCCCGTGCTTGTTTGATGGTGCAGATGTTTGACTTTTAAAACTTTTTCATTTACTCAGCAAAACTTGAATTGAGTCTCAAGACTACTTTGTAGGAGAGTCCTGCTAGTTGCTTGGGCAGATTCTCAATGACCATTGGTTTGTGCTTTGAAGAGAAAAGGAAATTACCCAGAGAAAACCCAGGCATACGAGTAGCCTCTGACATTCAAGGCTTGTAGAGATTTATTGATTAGCATTGATTCTTATGCTCAAGATGCATTCAATGAATTGTGTGTTTGAGAATTGGTCATTTTTCAACTTATGCAGATTATGTTTGAATCTGCCTTGAAACGAATGAAACGAATTACATACAGGGTAAACAAATTGTGACAGATGGCACAGACAAAACAAAATGAGACTGTAATGAAGAAACAAACAATAATTTAATCTTAGATTGAATTGTTGCCCCTGATTGTGACAGTTCATTGAATTTTGTGGATATGGGGGAAGAGGACATTGTGCGGGTGAATCATTTACATGTCCAGTGTTTGGCAAATGCCTGTATTCAATTGCTATTGGCTCGTTAGAGGAAAATTATTTCCCTGGACAAAATTCAGGCACATGCCTAGACTTAGACAATGACATCTACTCCCACCGAGGGTGAGATTAGGAACTCACGAATGGTATTAGCCCTGCCGCAGTGGTGTAGCTATTGGGTGTGTGGGTGGTCCAACTGTACCAGGGCACACGGGATGGACGAGTGTTGGCAACCAGTCTATGAAGAGGTGGTGGGAAGAGATTTGATAAGGGGCCTAAATTCAGCCCTTGCATCAGGGCCATGCCAAATAGCTGGGGCGGCGGTCTCTACCACTCACCCAGATGACAGCAGCAGTTGGTGCCATCTTAGGTCATCAGCAGGGTAAATGCCTGGTGGCTGAATAGCGTCAGCCTCTTAGCTAATTCCATGAAACAATGAGCGGGTTTGGGGGTTACCTTTTCACAAACGAGGTGGATTGACCACGAGAGTCACTGGGAGGCGTGGGCTACTACCTGGCTGAAAGTCTGCGTGCTGTTGGCATCGGGTGTCGGAGGTCGTGCTTTTCTATGTCTATATATGTTTAAAGTACCGTGCTTAATGTAGCCTATGCTGTGACAACGATGTACTTTATGGTTTATGTATACACAAGACCTGGATGATGGTATCAACAGAACATTGTCACTTGGCAGGGCGGTGGTGACTACAAACTTGGCCTGTAACCCAGCACTGTGGAGGTAGCGAGGTGTTGGTGGATCACCACTCATATGTTATGAAACGCCCTTCCTGTGGGTGTCGAGGAGGAGCCATACCCTGGCTCACCAGCAAAAGGCGGTACAGAAAATTGTGGATTCCACCTGTTCCATCTGTATGGGATAGATTATTGCACCCTCACACCCTTGTATTTTGTCCAGGTGCTCTGGTTTCCTACCACATGTAAACCCACATTTATTGACCAATAACACCTTAGTATATACAGGACCACAGAGCTTACATGAGAATTTGGCACCAGCTCACCACCTGGCTGCTGCATTTCCTGCTCATCTGTAGTTCTCCGTGAATATGAGTCGTTCTACCTTTTCGAAAACAAGCATAAATTATTATTATATTAACAATGTTTCCAGCACTCATGGCAACTAAATTACGCCAGGGCTCTGCCGATAGCACCCGTGGTGACGCAGTCCCCACGGTGCGTGCACGTCCCCAGCGCGATGACGACGGTGGCGGTGTGCGTGTGTTCCCAGATGCACTGGGCGGCTGTGGCCTGTGTGCTGCTGTTGGCGGTGGGGCTGGCCTGCGGAGAGATGCCGCGCTCCGACCAGCTCGCCGGCGGAAATTTTGTCGAGGAAGGTCCCTGGAACCGGTTCCGTGATGTGAGTGCTCACCCGCTGTACGCTCGCGACAACGTTGTGCGCTCACAGACGCGCGGACACTACGCGCATGTTGTGTAAATTTTGCAACAACAACAGAGGCAGCAGTGGCCACCGCGGTTCTGCAGTAAGTTTTGGTAACATCGCCCATGCGCTGTACCAAGTTGGGTGCACTTTGACAACTCGTACACGAACAACAACAATGTATACTTTATACAGCGTCTAAATGTCACCGTGTCTCAAGACGCTTCACAACTTCAGAGAAACTCCGTTCAGGTTGAATGGAGGTAGTGAGGGCGTGAGTGTCAAGGGCAGGGACACATTGGAGAGACTTTTGACTTTTAAACAACTTTTATTGCCGCCAGCAGCAACAGCACTGGAGGCGATTCCGATATGAAATACACAAAGTCACCAGCAAACAAATAAAACAAACGCTATGAATGCACGCGCTGTGGCGCTAAATGCACCACGCACAACACAAAAGAAAAGTCAAGTGGAGATAGATAGAAACAAACGAACTGACTCATTTTGCAATAATCATTTTAATAAACCTACTCTGTTGGAACTAAGTAGAATAATTTGATCAAATGCGCTCAGCAATTTAAAACAATAGTTTCTCATGCAAGTATTACATTCAAACCTCAGCAGGTGCACTTTAAAAGTACTTGCATGATCTGAGCGTCAGTCCACAGGAATGCTCAGAGGGGTGGGGGTGGGGAAGTAAGAGTGACCATAAGAGTGACCATAACCTTCCCTTTCCCCACTTCCAGAAAAAAATCAAAGAGTGATTGGGCTCCCACTTCTGGTTTAAAATGTCATAAATATCGACCATGTTAGGCAACACAGGCAGAGCAGTAAATCTGGACACTCGCCACCCGATATTTTTGTTCGTGGACAAACAGAACTAATGGCAAGTGGAAATCTCCTCTCCAATTCCGTACGAATGCAGTGTTGGTCACGGGAAATGAAGTGGCCGTGCATCCCGTCTGTGTGTGCGTGCGTGTGGTGGCCCGCTTGTCGCAAGCTCACCCTCTGTTTGTTCATCCGGCTTGACGTTTTGGACTTTTGGGGCCTGTGTGCGCTCAGCAACCATGATTTAAAAAAAATAATGTTGATATTCTTTATTCAAATACAATTTCAGGAATTACACACTGCACGGTCCTGATGATTTCTAAACAACAATAGTGCTGTTTGATGGAGGAAGTGCCGATTTAAATTAAGATCGTTTATCTCAAGAGCAGAGAGAGCTGATTCAAATTAAGATCCTCTATCTTAATGTATATGTCACATGGGACACACACTCGCACACACACACAGACAAGATCCTCTATCTCAAATTGAATCAGTGCTGTCTCTATCACGTGGGACAAACATCCCCTATATAGCTTACACAGACTCTAGAGAAAAGGTATGTTCGCGAGCACCTATTAATACCGGTGCAGTGCATAAGGTGGTTGGGCTACCTTTATTTCCCAAGTGCCGGTGTTTATCCACCAGCACCTTGTACTCATTTGCAAGGATTAGTCGACCTAGTGGAGACCCAGAACTGGTTTCAGATCTCACTCACCGACTGATGTTAATGCCATGGCTGGGACTCGAACGCAGGTCACTGTTTTCTTAGCTAAGTGCACTAACCATTGCACCACCACTCTCACATGGGACACAAGTACACACGTACAAAAAACACGAGATCTTTGTTGTAATTTTAATCAGTACTTTCTATGCCATGTGGAGCTCATTGTTAGCGATCATCAGGTGCTTGCAGTTAATTTGTATGTTAAGGGAGAACACTTTTAAGAATGAAAGGGTTTTCAGTGGTGGGTCACGAAGACATGCGCTTAGGAAACTCTGCCTTAGACAAGTCCTGCAACACCCACTATGTGCGCAAGCGTGTTGGCTCATATTTTCTCCTAGAAACGTATCTAAAACAATATACTATGCCAAGCAGGGTTTGCCTGGCTGGTAATTGAATGAGAGAATTGCATGGAATACCAAATGTTATAGGCTTTGACTGTGAGTTGGCAAGGATATAGCAAGTACACTAATGGATTATAGGATATATCTGACACTTTGAGCGTTATGTTTCCCCTCCAACATGAAGCCAAACGCTCATTCACGGGACCGACCAACCAACACATTGCAGGGCCGTCCAGTGAGGCGTTCCTGGGTAAATAAATAGTACTACCACAGATGGTGAGCTTGAGAGCTTTTGGAGGTGTAGGTCTTTATCAGAAGGATACAAACAAAGTTTATGTAAATTACAAACATAGTTGGGACTGAACATTTGCAATGAACTAGAAGTAGAACCAAATCTCTTGCAAGCAAAACCTTTTATGATCGACCAGCGTTGAGGTGGCATGATTTTCGTCCGTACAATTATCAGTGCAGGAACGCGTGTGCATGGAACGTCGCGTGGCCACATCTGGTACGTTACACCGCAATAGGCATATATGCAAGAGATCCAGGCACGACTCATCTCTCACTTGAACGGAGGATAGCATCGCGAAAGTTCGTGGTTTGCGTGGAGAGACGGGCGCTCCCATTGATGGCGCGTCATGGGGAATCGATTACTGGCGTGCGGCGCGCCGAACTGCGGCCCATCACGGTTGGGCCCTCCCCACCATCGGCCAACTGATGCCGAAACCCTGCACTTAGCCTTCGCCCTAACCCTAAACCGCAAACTGCCAACTGTAGCCCAGTAATTGCACATGCACGCAAGGCTTTCTGTTTTTGAATTGCATTGTCCCCAGTGATGGCTATTGGTGACTGGTAACCTTATCCCAGAATATACACAATGCGCACGAGATATAAGTAAACACATTCCAAGAAGGACCAACACAATCCAGCAGATACATTGCCTTGGAACGATCGCTGTGTGTGGAACGATATTAGACATAAATGGTGCCCAATGATATGCTTTAAATGAATGCTCTTTGAAGTTGTTCATCTCAATATATCTCCAAAGCATTGACGTGATGGCATATACAGAGCGTTTAAACAAACTTCAAACAGCAATAATGCCATTCATATTTTGCTCTCATTTGGTGCCATGTGAAGATTACAGCACAATATCTCTCCGAATCTGAGTAATGCTATCTCTCGGGCCTCTCTGTGTGCTGGAAAGGGCCATTGACCAAAACGTCGCCTATTTTATACTTCTCTCTCTTTATGACATGATAATGATAATTCTAAATGTTGTTCTTAGTTGGACGAAAAACGACATCCTGATACATAACTAATAACTCAATGCAATACCAGACAAATTGGATTTATATAGTATCTAAATACAACTGCATCTCACGATGCTGTACAAAAACGGTGGGTATATTTATTTTATAGAGAGAGGGGTAGTCAGTCATAGGCAGAAGAAAAAAGGGAATATTTTGATCCTAAACTGACACACTTGCACATAGAGACCAATAGCATGCCATAAGAGACCCATGACTTACAGATGAATGTGTACTACACAGATATTTACCCATATATGTGAGTCTTTGAATTACTACAGAGTCTATGGATCTCTTTTTAATGATGTGGTTCTTGATATGCCTATAAGACTCGGCGTATGTCTACCGTGCAGGAGTTATGTATACATTCTTATGCAATACAGTGGGGATGTACAGAGTTAGTAAATTTGACCGTGTCTCAAGACGCTGTCCAGAAACAACAGCCATATTTATTTTATAGAGCAAAAAAATGCAGTTTGCCAAAGACAAGAGTCTGGACTTGAACAGTGGCGTGGAGTCGAATGCAACAGCACGAATTGATGAGGGAAGCGAGTTCTAGACCATCGGGGGCAGCAGAGGAGAATTAATGACCTCCATGAACCTTATCACCATTTACTCTTATTGAGGTTGTATTCCTCTCCAATTTAATCAGTGAATTTTAAGGCCTTACCAGGTGTGAGACATTTATTAAACCATGTTCGTATTGTCCAGTTGTGAGCGATAATACAATCGGTTATTCTCGCAAGAAATGTCCCATTGGTTGCTCAAACATGCTAAAGTGTAAATTAATATATGGAATACAATCTGATGGATCTGTCAACACTGTAGTTATGATATGCATCGTCACCTGAGATAGACCGTTCATATCCATGTGTGTGTGTGTGTGTGGGCATATGTGTTCGTGCGTGTGTGTGTCACTGGGTGACATTGACTATTATTTGAACCAGTTCTGGGCCTTCCATAGGTCAACTCAGCCTCAAATCAGTAGCTGGTGCGGTGTGTAAACATCGCCACTCGGGAGACAAAGGCGGCCAGGCATGGTGCTGGCCGCCCACTTTGCGTGGAGTGGTGGCATGGTGGTTAACAATATGTGCTGTACATCTTGTGACATGAGTTTGATTCCTGGCCATGGCTAACATCACTGGTGAGTGATATCTAAACCGGTCCTGAGCCTGGGATTTAAATGAGTACCTGATGCGTTGTTTAAGCATCGACACTGGGGAGACTAAGTGAGTCATTAGGTGAGTGGGTGAGTGAGTAAATGAGTGAGCTCGTGTTTGAATGAGTGAATATATGAGAGTGAGTGAATGCATGTTTTAGTGAGAGACTGGGTGAGTAACTGAGTGAATGGTTGAGTAATTGAGTGAGAGAATATGAGTGAGAGAATTATTTAGTAATTGAGTGAGTGAATGAGTGAGTGAGCGATTGTTTGTCTAATTGGGTGATGTAGAGAATGATTGAGAGAGCACGGGCATGTCTGATTGGGTGTTTGCGTGAATGAGTGAATGATGGAGTAAGTGCATTGGTATATAACCACCACTGTCGGCTAGTGGTGATGCATGCCTGTAATCCAGTACTGTCGAGGCGAGGTGGATCGCACAAATTTAGCGAAACTTCCTTCCAATGGACGTCGATATGCCAAACCCTAACTTACCAGGGAAAGGCAGTCCAGCAAATTGTGGGCTAATATTATTTGTCCCTTCTGTATGTGATACAGTGTTGTTCGCTCGCTCACACGTATGGGTTTTCTCCGGGTGCTCTGGTTTCCTCCCACAT